AGCGCCGGAGCTTTGGCCTCAGACAATAAAATGCAACAACCGTGACCAGCTACCAAAGTCGCATCTGCTGACGGACTGGTTGCGAGAAGTTCAAGCTGTTCACTCCAAAGGAGGGTCAATATCAGAATAGGAACATCAACAAGCAAGCTTGGCCCTGAACCTTCCTCCAGAGGCATGCTCTGCAAACGTCAAGCGCCGCATCTCTACAGTAACATTTCAGCTGAGCCGAGACATACGGGCATCATCAAGAGAGCATCCTGTCCACGAACATATGGCGACCATCGGTCGACAAGTGAAACCGGCCCTCGACGACAGTTCACGATGCATCAATCGTCAGCTTACCGGTAAGAGCAGCAGACACATCGCTGCAGCACGACACTGCAGAGTCCGTCGTGAAAACCGCTTCAAGAAAAACTCCTGACATGATTGCCTTTCGTAACCGATCACGTACATTATGTCATCATGTCATGCAAAGTAACGTCATTTTGATCTAGGAAATCTTTCCATGGATGGACACATGACGTGGTCATAAGCGAGAACAAACTTCCACAACATGACTGTCTGTCGAAGAACACACACACGGACCAAACCAGTGGACTCTGTCAAAACGCCTTCCATAAGTCCCGAGATGTTGCTGGAAAGAAAAGTCGCAGTCGCTACGTGAACTGATCTAAACCCCGAGCCCCAAACCTACTCATCGGTTCCGTCACGATTTGCACTGTCATCGAGAATAGCACTATCAAAACTATCAAATAAACTTCTTCCCGATCGAAGGGCTCATCGTCCAATTGGTCAAACATACTACAGTATATGCGAGTCTATTGAAGTACAGTATGATATAGTAGTTTAAAGTTATAGTCATTGTCTAAAAGAATATATATAATTTTAGTACACAAACGTATATGGTAGTGTACTATAGTACATTGCAGTATGTTGTAGAATATGGCAATATACTCCCGTATTTTGTAATATGTTGTAGTTTTACAAAACACAAGCCCTGCTTACATGCAACCCACCATCTACGACTGTACGTGCATGGTTTTCAAACAACTAAAAAGCCGTAACTTCTTCCACAAAACATTCAAAAGTGCTCAAAAGTAAGGCCGTGTTTTCGGTTTCTCTCTTTAGGACAATTGTTGCTTGGACGCGTACAAACTTGAGATCAGGAAGAAACAAACCGAGAAACGACAAGTCAGCATGATTCCCAATATAGCACCCCAAAAAACACCTGAAGCTTCCTTGCTTCTCTCGCATTTCTCTCTATGAAGAATTGACGCATTTGTTGTCTACTTGAGCGACAAGACGTAGTACCTTTTTTTTTTTGCTCCAAAACACCAGTTTTAAACCTCAATAGCAGCGATAACCAAAGCTTTTTCTCGTTCTTGCCATTGCTGTTATGTGGATGATCTTCTGCTCTCAAAACAGCAAGGTCGTGCCACTTTCTGCTTTGACACTGGCGTTCTGCGCATGCTTTGATTCGCTTTCATGGAAAAAGTTGCAAATAGGACCAAAACAGGGATAGGATGGGACAACTTTGTGAACAAGTTTTCGAAATGCCTTCGACACCACACACAAACATTCGACTATCAGTAGTTGACACTTTAGTTCGATTTGTGCTTGTAAAACACTCTTCATGTTGCAATTGGTCAAAGTTTTTTGGATGCTTTGGGTCTCAAAGTGGTTGTTCGAATTTTAGAAGTCAACTTAATGTTTGAGAGGTTGAACAGTGTTGGATTTGTGTTTTTGTTGGTTTCAAGAAGAAACTGGAAATGTTTGAACAAACCGTAACAAGACAATATTGGACTTTCATTAGATTTTAAACACAAAAAAAACACATTCCGACACAAAGTTTCTGCTGAATCTCTTAGTAGTGTGTGGTTCCCTGTTGTTTGCTTGGGTCTTTATTTGTCACAACGCGATAAGCAACATTCAATGGAAAGTGTCTAAAAGTGAAGCTTCTAAAAAGAAAGTTTCGAGGCATTCAAGAACTTGCTTCTCTTGCGAACTTCTACAACGCCGCTCGCGCCATTCGCTTCGTAGGCTCTTTATCTTTTACCTTCAGACGAGCCAAAAAGGCGGAAGAATGCTTACCTAAAGCCGGCTTTGAGCTGGTTTAACACCATCCCAGCAGAGAATCGCATTTGAAGAAGTCTTGTTCAGTTCCAAATGCCGTGCTAGGCTTTAAAGTCGCAAAATGTCCACGAGTCTCACTTCAAATCTCTCGGAGATAGATGCGAATTTTTCCAAAAAATATGCGCGTACAGTACGCAACGCCACAACGGGTCCACGTGTGTGTTTTGAGCCACCACTTTGCAGGTATTTCTCACCACGCAATGCATGTGGATGCATCTAGAAGTGGTTGGAGGCAGAAGGAAGAGCATGCGCCAGGTTGCATTGTTTCGCCGTGCTTTGGTGCCTGGAACACTCATGGTAGCTTTGTTCCATGCAGAGGCAAGACACAACATTTTGGAGATGAGAAAATCTTTCTGCGTAAATCCTAGAAGCAAGCGGTTTCAGTTTTTTTCAACCCAGAAAAGCAGGTAGCAAAGCCCTTTTGCTCTAAAAGACACTTTTCAAGCCACATCTTTCTGTTGAAACATTCCAATTGTGACATAGCGTCTGAATTAGTAAAGAACAAGTGTTGCAAGATGTCATACTTTGCAGAACTGGGTCAGTCGTTGGTGGTTGGTTGGTCGTTGGTCGTTGGTTGGTCGTTGGTCGTTGGTGGTCTGGTCGTTGGTGGTTTGTGGTTGGTGGTTGGTGGTTGGTGGTTGGTGGTGGTTGGTTGTTGGTTGTTGGTTGTTGCAGCAACATCAACGACGCATGATTTTGACCTTGTCGAATTGACAGCTGATAAGACTACAAATTAGATTCCGACTGGGCGGGTCCGGCTATTGGGGCTCACTTCTGCAACGAACATGCAAGTGTGGAGATAAATTTATTCAACAGGTTCGATGCTGGCAAACTTTTATCGGTAAGATCCGCACGAAAATCGTAATTCGAACGAAAATATGCCTTTCTATGCTGTAATTAGTTGCATGGTCCTTTCCATGTTGCCTTGTAACCGCTAAGAGATGACTACCTTTGCTTAGAAACCACCAACTTACCCGAGCTTTCACAGTTTTGATTGTACAGTTCTTTGGCAGTTTGGATCTCTTGACACCAAAGCTTTTGTTCTGACGGTGTCTACCTGCCGCAGGGACTGCTCATACCACTTGCTTTATAGACTCTGTTAATATTTCTTTTGTAAGACTACTTGCTTACTCTCAAGTCTTTTCCTTGCTGGCATTGCTGCTGCTGGTGCTCGACCATCACAGAAGTACGTCCCATGCGACAGTACAGGAACTTCACAACACACGGGAACCTTTTGGGAATTATTTGACAGTCTTGCCCAAAGACCCCAAAACCCCTTGCTTCAGCAATCATAGTTTAATTTGTAACGTGAAAGCCTTCTAGAAGTTCAAGCATATGTCTCAATTACGGGTGTGGTGGAAAGCAGAGCAAAAATTACATACATGGAAGACGTCTGAGTTTGTGCCTAGGGCAAGTAGCGTTCGGACTGCAAGGGAATCCAAGCAATGCCGACTAAGCGCCTGAATTTCTTGGAAACCGAAGGACATGCCATACAACACCAAATGTTTCCTGTAGCCATTGTAACAATTTTGGACCACAAACCCGGAGGTTGTTTTGAGTTGAGCTTTAACCATTATTACCCCAAAGTTCCGCGCCAACAACATTGGGGTACGCAGAAATTAAACTCTTTGCTAAAGGGTGTACAATTTTCCATGCTTCCATGCCAAAGAAGAATTCTAAACCCCCCTGTTGAGGGTTTGTGCTGAGGGGATTCCGCTCTTTGACCTGGTGGCGTGTCTGGCCATGCGAGATCCATCGCGGCTGTCACCAATTGGCTCGGCGACCAAATCCATTCAAGCGTCTTGCCTCGAGCAGAAGCAGCACCAAACCCTAAACGGTGAAGCCGGAGTTCCTGCTACTTGTTTCGTGAAGGTCAGAAGCAACATTCTCTGACTTCTGACTCGGGTTCTTCGGGTTGGCGTCGTCCATTTTCAATTGGCCATTGGTTGCATGTACCGGTGGGAGCCTACGCCGAAACCCTCTAGAGCTCGTCCTAGACTTTTGAGTTCGAGGTTGGGGTTGCAGAGCCCGAAGCCGCAAGAATCCTTCAGCTCCCGAAAGGGCGCCGGCCGGCAAAGCCAGTGGAAAGAGGCGGGGCTCCTCTGGTGAAACAAGTCTATCCCTAAACCCCGAACCCCAAGGTGAAATTGTGCAGTGCTTGAGCGACTTTGAAGATTCCCTCCTGGAAGGCGTGTAGCTAACATGTTGGAGTCTTGACACCAGGTTTTCGAGGGGGGTTGTGAAGCGTGCTCCACACCAAAGATCTGCTGAATCGGAACCATCAGGCAGATTGAAGAGATTATTATGCAAAGAAAGCTGCGAAGATCCGTAATTCAACACCTCGATGTGTATGTGGAACTAAGCATGTATGTCGTTCCACATGCCAGGGCCAGCAGAAAATTGAAAAAATCCATACATGCAGCGGCTAGGCGGTGGCTACGTACAATCAGCTGAAGTTCGGCAGCCTGGAGACAGACGCAGTTTGCTGTGGTGCTGTGCTTCAAGCATGCCAGGCAAGTGCTTGGCATTTGGCCTATTCCATGTTTTGGCAGGTTCAAGAAGCTTCGATGCAGCTGTCGGTTATTTGTTGCAACATTGCTCTGAGCTTCTCGGGACAGCAGGAAAGCTGGCACCGTACTATCGGCTTGCTGCTTTGGATGTCCAGCCTGGCCATGCGCCCCGATTCTCAGAGCTATGCGCCAGCGCTGGGTTCCGTGACAACCTGGGCACAGTCGCTGCAGCTGCTGCACCAAGCGCCGCCCAACCGAATTCTGAGTAATGTGGCCATGGCTACGATAGCCGGAGCATGGCGGTGGAGCTTTAGTATCTTTTGCGACTTAAGGGCTGCTCGGCCACTTCCAGACACCATCTTTCTCAACACCTTCCTAAGCAGTCTGGAGAGGTCGTGCCAATGGCAACTGGCGGTTTCCATGCTGCAGACACCTCCCGAAAGCCTGAACCCCAACAGAGTCAGCTTTAATGCATGTCTGCATGCCTGCGGCGAAGCCGAGCAGTTGGACCAGGCGCTTCAGCTACTGGCTTCGATGGAAGACCACGGGCCCTCGCCGGACGTGATCTCTTACAGCGCCGTGCTGAACACGTGCGCAAGGCTCGCGCAGTGGCGTTTGGCGCTGGAGGAGCTGCGGCGAATGCAGCGCCGCCATGTCTCGCCTGACGTGGTTGCGCTGAATGCAGCCATGTCGGCCTGTGCCGAAGCAGTTCAATGGCAAACATGTCTGAGCATGTTGCAGACATCCAGCGCAGGAGATGCAGACAGCATCTCTTACAATGCTTTCCTCAAGGCATGCGACAAATCGGCTCGGTGGACGGTTGCGCTGTGTATGCATGCGCAGATGCTGCGCACGCGAACCGGCTGCACCACAACTACATACAATACCTTGCTTAGCTGTTGTCAGCGGAGCAGCCAGTGGGAGCATGCCACACGCCTGCTAGCGATGATGACTTCTCAGCATTGCCCTGCTGACATTATCTCTTTCAATGCTTGCTTGGGGGCGCTACGACGGGGGTCCCAGTGGCAACATGCACTATCTCTGCTGGACATGATGACACGTTCTCGTGTCAGGACCGGAGGATACCGGAGGTGTCAGCCCATGTTACAAACGTGTGAGCTCGATTTTTGAAGACCGGTTACCGTAGACCCCAAGCTATATGTCCCAAGCTTTCAGCCTTGACAGGTGCAACATCAACCCTAAGGCCCTGTGAAACTTCACAAGCTTGAACCGCAAGACTCGGAGGCCTCAGCCCCGAATTTCAAAGTGAATCCAGAAAAAAACCCCGCAAGACACCCGCGCAAAAGAGTGCCTGCCACAAGCCCCAAGCTTTCCAGCAGTCCGGGAACTTCTTTCCCCTTCGGACGGGGTAGGCTCGTGTAGTTGATAAAGCTTGAATGAAGAATCAGGGTTTAGGGTTTGGGGGCTTCCTGAATACGAGTATACTTTCGTAAACCCTAAAAAGCCTGCTCAAATTATGAAGGCCCCTATACCAGGCTTGCAGGCAGGCCCTTCCTGTGCTTTTGTTACCTTTTTTGAAGGGCTTTTCATCGAATCCCTTTATCTTCGGACGCTCTTCGTGTAGATGGCTCTTTCCTCTAACCCGGCTCGCAGCTTCTTCGGCTTCATCCTGAACTCAAAGCAGAACAGAAACACTCAAAGCTGGTAAACTCCAGTATGTAGGGTTTAGGGTTTAGGGCCCCAGGGTTCGAACATCCGAGACCCCAAGACCTAAGCCATATCAAACCAAACCCTAAAAAACCTAAACCCTAAACCGTTCAGGGTTTAGGGCCTAGGGTTTAGGGATACACCCTGGTAAAACCTTTGATGTAAACGTCCTAAGCCCTCAACCCCACAACCTCGCAAACAACTCGACACCCTACACCCAGCATACCTGGTTGCAAAAAGCCTGATACTGCGAAAAAAGGTGTTATGCCCAAAAAACATAGGACACTATATCCCTTTAACAACTATTGTAGAACCTTTACGGAACCCTTGAGCGAATCCTCCAAAATAAACGACTAGTCGTACTATCTGCCGGGTTACTTATACCCCCAAAGCAAAATTATTATGGCTCGGATATTAGTCAAATGTAGAGTTTTGAGTGTTTAGGGTCATGTAACTTGTAAGAGATCTTATCGATCCTTTTTGGGAAATCCTTCAAGGAGCCCCTTCAAACCCTAAGCCCCAAGCCCCGAACCCCCTAAACCCCTAAACCCCTAAACCCTAAACCCCGTAAAACCCTAAACTTGTTGAAGAAACCCTAAACCCGAAACCCTAACATTTTTGAAGAAACCCTAAACCCTTAAACAAAAAAAACAAGCTGTGGAAAAGCCCTTTGAGTCCCAGGAGCGATGTGGTGACCTTGGTGGAGGCGCTCGGGGCCCTCGCGGACGGCGAGGCTTCGGCGAGGCCCGGACTGGCGCCGTCCCTGGCCCAAGGCATCGCTGTGAGCGCCGGGAACCCCGGGTTTAGGGTTTTAGGGTTTAGGGTTTTAGGGGGTTTAGGGGTTTAGGGTTTTGGGGGTTTAGGGTTTAGGGGTTTACGGTTTAGGGTTTAGGGGGCCAAAGAGGGCTCTTAGTGTTTAGGGTGTAGGGGTCGAGAGCTTTCTGGCTTCGGGCCCTGCGCGGGTTTCCAGAGGTGCTTGCAGGGCTTTCCAGGGTTTTTTTGGTTTTCAGAGGAGAGGCTTTCTTGGGGAGTTGAGGAGGGGGACTCTGAGGTTTACGAGGTTGGACTACTTGGTCGGTTAGCAGTACTTGTCGGGGAGGGTTTTACCAAAGACTTGCAACCACAGGTTTAGAATCAAGCCAGGTCCACACTTCCATTGAACTACATATATACCTTCATTTTGGACTGTGTTGCCACACCGATCTCAAACGTTCTTGACGGACAAACAGGGTTGTATACGGTTTGTATGAAGGGGGTTTTTGATCAAATTTGAAGCCGGCCTTTTAAACCCTAAACCCTAAACCCAAAACCCTCAACCCTAAACCCCCTAAGCCCTAAACCCTAGTGGCCGAGAGTACGAGGCTTTGAGCTTCCAGGCCCGGGGCTTGCTCCAGTGTCGGTGTGAGGTCGCTTAGAGGTTCATGGGACTTGGTAACCTCGGGTTACATGACCTTACTATACCTGCAAGAGTTTATAAGCCGAGGTAAGATACTAGGTACCTTGTTTCTGTACCTACCAAGTCCCATGAGTCTCCAAGTGGAGAGAGAGAGAGAGAGAGAGAGAGCGAACAAGCTGCTCCTTCCTCAGGCAGAAGGCTTGGGCGAGTTCCCTCGGATTCGCTTTGACTTTACCCTAGACCCAACGCCATAAACCCTTCTTTCGACTTTAGGTTCAAGGCGTGTTTTAGTTAGTGACTGGGCCGTTGGGTGTTTCAGCAGATGCAAGGCGTTTTGGAGCGGGTTTATGTGGGGCAACATCAACAAGGTTGCAGCATAACAGTCGGTTGTGCTTGTTCCTTACAGCCGAAATTCCAAGCCCAAACCCCTACACTCTGACCCTCCAAACCTAAATCCTAGACCCTCAACCCTCAAACCCCAAACCTTAAACGCCAAACCCAACACTCTAAACCTCATAATCCCCAACCCCGAAGCCCTAAACGCTAAACCCCAAAGCCCTACACCCTAAATTTCCTAAATCCCAAAGCCCAAACCCCTACTTCGGTCCTTGAGGTCAGAGACTGCATGGAGCCCGGGGTTCAAGCGGAGGCCGGCCTATGCGATGGGAAGCGTCCGAACCGGGTTTAGGGTTTAGGGCTCTAAGGGTTTAGGGTTTAGGGTTTAGGGCTCTAAGGGTTTAGGGTTTAGGGTTTAGTGCTCTAAGGGTTTAGGGTTAGCTGTTTAGGGCCTATATCCTCAACCATCCTGAACCCTACACCCTGAAGCACAAAAACCTAAAGCCTCTATCGGAAGGACTTAAAGGCCGAAGCCAGCAGAGCTCTGCCTGAACGTTCATGGGATGGTTTAAGAGGGTTTAGGGGTTTAGGGTTTAGGGTCTAGGGCTTATAAGGCGATCAATAAGGTAACTATACTTGTAGTCACTTGCAACCCCATTTAAGATACTTATAACTGTACTTCAGACTTCCTAAGTCCCATGAACCGCCAAGTGCCCCTATAGCACCGTTATAGAAACCCTTTTATACGCCCTTTCAGGTAGGTACTAAGGTACCAAACCCTAAACCTCGAACCTCGAACCCTAAACCCTAAACCTCGAACCCTGAACCTCGAACCCTAAACCCTAAACCCTAAACCTGAAACCCTAGCGCAGAGCTCTGGAGGCCTCCCGTCCCAGTGGCCTGGCGATTACGGCTTGCGACTCCCTCGCATCACAGCGGCTTCCTGAGACTTTCGAAGCTGGGTTGCCTCTTTTGGCTTCTGTCAGGGCTCGCTTAAAGGTTCTGTACAGGGTTTTCTAAGGGTACTATGGGATTTAGCGTGTCGAGTTTGAGGTCTTAGAGCTCAGGGCTTTGGTTTCAGCGGATTTCAGGGGTGGAGAAGCTGGGCTTTGGGTCTGAGCGAAGGGTGCTCTGCTTTTTCCCCCCAAAAGGGTCTTCAGTTTCTCGATGGTCGAATGTAGGGTTTCTATATTTGGAATCATTAGTATGATTTGGGGAAGATTCCCCCGGAACAGAACCTAGGACCTTTTGGGTCCTTGGCCCAGGAAAGCCAGTGGCTATTGCGACGCTATGCGCTGCGCCCGGCTCTGCGTGCCCTGCGGGGCCCAGTTCCCAGGCCACTTGCCAGCCGAGCGCTGCGACTGCGGGACCCCGCGCTGGAGCGCCAGCACAGCCTGGGAGCGTCCCTGACGAAGGACCATGAATGTAGATGGAATCGGAAGAAGAGCTGCAAAAATTATGAACGTGCCCTGGTCACCACTATCATAGGACCAATAGCAGCTGCTCTTACCATTTCGATCGCTGCTGCCGATACTGCTCTTGACGTCGCTGCCAATGCTGTGACACTTTGCAGTCGCCATCACCAGCACAAGCATAACAATCATTTCAAACACCACGATCGCAGTCAAGACAAGTTAAAGTGCGATCACGTAATCAGCGACAGCGTCTACAATGATGACGATGACTGCCGACTGCCATCAACGACTACGATGAAAGCGCAGTGCTCCTAGTGCACACAATAGCTCGTCCGTCTACAACCGTTTCCTCTACGACTGGCGATTGCAATAGTGCTTCTTGTGTCTTTAGTAGGCCATTCACCGAAGAAGCAAACGAAAAGAAGTCTAAACTCCCCTAATGATTGTCTGAAGCCTAAAACTTACTTCCCAAGCCCTAAACCCTAAACCCTAAACCCTGAACCCTCAACTCTATATATCCTACAAGCCTACAAGCCCTACATTTCAAACTCGACGATGACAGGAGGCGCTCTTGGAACTGGAAGGCCCTTCTGTGCGACCCTTTCCGCTGCCGTGGATGCTGCAAGCAAGCCAGGCGCCAGAAGCGACGGACGTTCCTTCCTTGTGGGGTTCCATGGGGTCTTCTAGAGGAGCTCATACCGGATTCCACAAGTGTTTATTGAAGTTATTCTTATCGCAGGATATTACCCTAAACCCCGAAAACCCTTATTGCAGGATATTGGAGCTTTTTATGGGAGTTCCATCGTGCTCCACAAATTCCTTCTTTCAGGGCCCAGGGCTCTGGGAGCGGTCGGAGGTGGTTTTGTAGGCCCAGACGGGGCATAGCGTTACGTTGATGGGCGTGGATGGGCGTTGAACCTGAGCAGCCACGACAGTTTGTTGATACTTCCACCCTGGCTGCATGGGTGCATGAAAGCCTCCACAAGAGGGGTTGGCTGTGGGAGTCGCAGTCATCTGTTGCGTTGTTGCGTGCTAGATTCCCCGCTCGTTCAGTTGTTTAGTTACCCGAAGACTCTGGCCCAAGTCCATTTTGGCCACTTTACCCTGAGAGCTTTAAAGAATGCAGTGCCCAACATAGACCCTAGGTAGTCGGATGATTAACATAAGACTCCTCAACAGCGGCCCCAAGAACGAGTCGGAATAGTAGGATCCTTGTCCTAACTCCTATCCACCACAATGACTTGAAGCAGCCCTTTTGGTCCCTCGTATAGTCGCGCGCTGGATCTAGGAGATACAGGTTTGGGGTTCAGGGTCGGAGTTTACAATTGGGGTCGGCGCGATCCTAACCAGATGACGAGTATGAGTGATCCCCCGGAGTAGTAAGATTCTTTGCACGAGGAAGCAGGGGTGCGTTAATCTGAGGTGTACATTCATCCATGATCACGGATGGCAATATAGGGGCCTCAATAATTACGAATACTACTTTGGGCGGTTCCTTATTATAAATACACTATAACGGGCCCCAAACCCTATTTTGATTATTAAGGTCCCTACATTATTGTTATACTTCTTTTGCAGTCTGTGGCCCGCTTTTGTCTGCTGAGACCTAGTCGGGACATTTCTTCAGCAAGAGGGTGAAATAATTCATGGAACAGATGAGGTTGAAGTCATATGTTGATATAGGTTGTCGTGGGGTTTAGGAATAATGAGGATTTGGCCCTGAAGTGCAACTGTGTCGTGAGCTTGAGACTTCAGGATTTGTAGTTTCCGGTTCTCGCAGGTTCAGCTTCAGACTTCTTTGGTTAGGAGGTTTAGGGTTTAGGGTTTAGGGAGGTCAGATTCGATTTCGGGGACTAAGAGTTTTGGTAGTAGCCCCCAAACCCCAGATTACGATTCCGAGCCCGAAACAGTATGTAATGTTGTTAAAGGGTCGGAGTCGTTCGGTAGACCCTAAACGTCCTTAAACCCAAACCCGCAACCTCAAAGTACTAAAACCCTCAACCCTGAAGTACTAAAACCCTACAAGCCCTAAAGTACTAAGACCCTAAACGCCCTAAAGTGCAAAACGGCCCCTAAACCCTAAACCCTAAACCCTACGCAGTGCCTTTCCGGAAGCTGTGAGGCGCCCTAGCGCCTATCAGTTCAGGGTTTAGGGCCTAGGGTCCATCCCGTTCGGCTCTAGGATTCTGAGAGGGTTTAGGGTTTGGGGTTTAGGGTTTAGGGTTTAGGGGTTTAGGGTTTAGGATTCTGGGGACGTGTGTATACAGCTCGTTTGGGGTCTAGAGCTTGCGGGGTTTAGACCCTTTGAAATAGTCTGAGTGTGCAAGCCAATACCCCGCTGTTTGGATAATCTTCAATTCAAAAAGAGATTGGAAGGACTAGTAATCCTTTCCCATTGCAGTCCTTATCTAATGCTACCGAATTATCCCTGAACCCTAAATTTCCTAAACTATTACCAAATACCCTAAACCCTATACCCTAAAGCCTAAACCCCTAAACCCCAAACCCTAAACCCTAGACCCTAAGCCCTAAACCCTAAACCAAATACCTTAAAACCCCAAACCCTAATCCCTTAAAGCCCTACTGCAATCGGATCCCAGGGCTGACTGAGGTCAGAAGTAGCTTCCTTCTTCTCCCTGGTTCTTCGTAGGGAATGGGGGGAGTGGGTCAAAACCCCTTTAAGGGATCCATAAGGGATCTATAGGGTTTAGGGTTTAGGGTTTTAGGCTGGTTCTTCGTAGGGAATGGGTTATTGGGACTACGAAAGGGGA